ATGGTGCACCGCTTTGGAAAACACCTCTCCCCACTGGTTCAAGTCCTTATGGGCAACATATATGTTCTTTTCCCACCTTTGATGAACCCCATCATTTATAGCATCAAGACCCAACAGATACGCAGGAGAATCCAGAGATTGTTCTACCTGAAATCATCTTAGGTTTTGAGATGTAAATGCATTTAGAATCAACAAGCAGAGTTAATATGGTGAAAGCAGTAAGTAATTAAAAATGGGTTTACTCAGTATTATTTTAGAGTTTTTTTATCAGTTACATGTACTTTACTGTCCTGTTTCCAATCAGTATATCAGTGCAAGTATCTTTTACACTGTGGCAATCAATTTTATGTGTGGAAGACACACATGGAATATGCTGAGAGTGAAACATATGCCATTTCCTTAGTAATATTCACACCTTACTGCGAGCACTGCAGAGCATTTTTGCATCAACCTATTAGAAAAAAATCAATTTTTGTGGTGAAAGCCCTTTAAATAATTACAAGAAGATGCTCAATTCGTAGTACTTTTATAACTTTGTCCCGCATGTCTGGGGTCTATAGATGATCCCACATATGTAGTTAGCTCAACAAGGTAACGTGAATGTATAATTAATGAACAGTGTAAAAATATTGGACTCTTAAGTTACAAGTAGTAAAACAATGGACCAAAGTGTAACTGTGATGCTAGATAGTCTGCCAAACCAAGTTCCCCAAATCCATCCTGTGCACAGTGAGTGAGTTTTTCATCAAATATGATCATAAGTATAGGAGTGGGAATGTGTAAACATTCGTGATTTGTGTCTATACTAACTAATAGAAATTGCAAGTACCATAGGAAGATCATTTGCATCATTTTAAAATATTGATTTGAGTCCATACAATGGTCCACTTTCATTCAAATCTCAGGTTACAATTAAAAGAATATAAAGTGAATACATCATTTCTATAACTAAGAATTGTAAATGTATCTAATTTAATCTCAAAACTTTCTAGTATATTTTATTTTTATTGTATAAATACAACTTTTGGTTCAATTGGTTATGTGACATGCAACACTGTGTTAGGTAATACATTATGGTTTTGGATCTATTTTCATTTGTTTCAGTTCTTTAAATCTTATTTTAGCTCTTCCTTTCCTACTTGCTATGCACTGATTTTTTTTTTTATGCACTGATTTTTAATATAAAGTTTTAAAGTGATGCTGTTATCACTGCAAAATATTTATATGAGAAATCAAGGTACAAAATTCACAAAATAGATCATGGATATTAATAAAGTTTAGACATTTAGATACTGCTTGTGTATTTGCTATCCTATAATATTATTTTTACAATAGACAGCTAATTTACTTAATGTTTTTAGGGTGGCCTATTAAACTGTATTTGCAAACAGTAATTCATTTTAAGAATATAAACACAGCTTTGCAAGCTTTAAAAATATTTATAATCACATAAATACCAAAATCAAGATATAGCATGTTTCCATCACCCTCCAAAGTGCCTTACATCTGTTTCTCAATTTTCCTCTTCCACTACCTCAAGTTCTCATCAGCCACTAATTCAGCCACAATTTTGTATCCTAGAGGCTTGCCTTTGGAAGAAAACCTAATATAAATAAAATAATAACTAACATAATCCTTTCCACTTGGATTATTCACTTTCATTTCATTTTGGACATTCATTCTTATTGCTGCTTGCATGCATAGGTCATTTTTCACTCCATTTGTTGTTCTGTCCCATTGTGTTATACACAAGAAAGTATTTAGTCATTTGTTAATTTATGTACATCTTACAGTTTTGCTTTTTTGATTCTGATTAAAAGCACTAATAACATAGATACCACATGATTATAACACTTTTCCCTGATAAAGTAACTTAGCTTTCAAAGCTTTATATAATTACCAAATCCCATTAACAGTCAGAACAATGGGTTTCCCTGTGATGTCTCCATGCACATACAAACAGAGCTTGATCATGTCCAGCCTCCCCTCTGCTCTCTCTGGCTTATATCTTTATAATTATACATACAAGGACCATCAAATATTAATGATTGTAATAATTTAAAAAAAAACCATTTAAATGAATCAGGTATCTATTGTATGTGAAGAACATTGGAAGCAATAGTAAAATTTTGCTTTTAATCTTCAGGACAAATCTGAAGTATATGAGTAAATCATAGCCATTCAGTTTTGTCACTGACAATATTAAAAAGGTGCTAAAATTACTAGAAAAAAAGTTGGGCAACTGATCTCAGAATTAGTACTTTTATTATAGCTTCTACTGTTTCATATTACATAGAGCTACTTTCTATTTTCTTTATTGGTGGTGGTCTTGTATGAGTCAAGAATTTTAAATTATATATAAATATAAATGTCAGTGTACGTTATGTATATCAGTGTATACATACATACATAATTTTAAATGAGTTACCCACTGAAAATATTCTTTAATAGACTATTTTTCCTCTCAGCCTGTATTACGTTATACCAAAATTCCCTGTCTCAGGTTTTGCACTTTTATATGGAAGGAGGTTTTTCCCTTTTTGCTTTATAGTTCCAAAGTGACCCTATTTATGGAATGGTGTACTGAACTGACAGCCATTCACTTGAGAGTCAATCAGTACTTTTGAACTCAAACATATCTTTACTGTGCTGTCATATAAATTATTTCAGTAACTCCTCTTCCACTTTGATGTGGATAATATGTGCTAGATTATTTGTTTCCTACAAAAGTTTCTGCCCACTCATACCCACACTGGGTATCACTTACATCAAACGGGAAGCCATGTGTCTTCAAGGACTGAGTGAGTGAATGTATGAGCCTACCATCTAGTGGCTAAATTACTTGGCTGATGCATGTTGGAAGAATTTCATTACGCCTCCTTACTTTGTATGGAACCTTGTCAGTTCCATACCCTGTGTGAAATTCGGCTGATCATTTCCCTTTCATTCATTCCATGACCCTTTCATATCTTTGGCTTTTACTAAACAAGTCCTGGAATCTGACCCACATTGTCCTACTTTTTGGATTGAAAATGTGTTTCTATGGCCCAGTGTGCACAGCCAATGTAACCCTATTGACAGCACTGCAGGTACACCATTACTACAATTTATGAGTTCCCTACAGCAAAATAAGGAACTTCTGGGTCAGTTTGTTCCTAGAGGAGGAGAAGAGAACTGGGGGAGGTCTTTCTCTCTTTGACTGAATATGCGACATATTCATTTTTACCCCAATGTTCTCCCATGTCCTGAAGAGAATCTCAGAACTCAGGCAGGAAAGATGCTTGAGAAAAAATAGGAAATTGCCATCTCTTTCCTTCTCTTGGCCTCTCAAATACAGTGGATTTCTATTCTTTTTTAGGTTGGTGTTTTCCATGGACCAGAGGATTCTTATCTTTCCTATTTTTCTTCTTCCTCCATGTCTTTCCACCATCTCATGCCGGAAGGGGTTCACCTATGTTTTTGTTTTGTGTTTGGTTTGGTTTCTAAAATGAATTTCTCTGTACCCAGATTTCCTCCTCACTATCCTAATTCTAGTTGATGTTCTGTAACAGAGATATTGAATAACAACAGGACTCTAGTGAAAAGCAAATACAATCAAGAGCTTCACCATACAAGATGGTAGGAATCCAACCATGGATCTTATATTCCATGTTGTTATCTTCAAATCAGTCGTTCTGATTATCAGATATAAGTGTGAAAAATTGGTCAAGGAAAAAGAAAATATTAAGTATTAATCATTTCCAATGTTGTTTCTGTTACTTGTTACTGTCTTTGTTTGATCAATCTTGCGTTCTTACATCTGGTGGACTGAGCAACTTTGTGTGTGGTGTAGCAACCATTGTTACTTCCTATCATTTTGAGGTCATCTATCGTTTTTGTTGTTTCTGCGTTGTTCTTATTTTTGTCTTCATTGTTGTTTTGTTAGGTTTTATCTCTTTAAAATAAAAAAATGAAATTAAAGATATGTAAAAATGCAATCAAGAATATTCAAATATCAAAATGTATTTGCATTTTACAAATCCACACATATATTTATTCTTTTTATTTATACTATATATTTGTGAAGGTCTTCAAACTCTATTTTCAGTTAGGTAATTCCTTATGGTAGTAAGTTCTATGCTTTACCACATACACTTATAGGATAATGCAAATTTATTTATTTATTTATTTTTTGTTGTTTTAAGACAGGGTAAGACAGGGTCTCACTATGCAGTTCAGGTTGCCTTGACCTCACTTTGTAGCCCAGACTGGTCTTCAACTCAGGATGATCTTCCTGCTTCTGCCTCCTGAGTGCTGGAATTACAGGCGCAAGCCACCATGCCTGGCTATAATGCAAATTTATTTTAGCATGTTTTCCATTGTACTGCAATTAAATCATTTGCTAACCTCACATAAACCTACCAGTACAGAAACAAAATATCAAATATGAAGATACTTACAAAAACTCACAATGTAATAACTGCAAATCAGATTTATCATCTCATTAAATAAATCATAGATATCAAGTAGTCAGCTTTATACTAGAGATGGAAGTGTTTCAACATGTGCTAATCAATGAATATAAAATATCTCATAAATAAAATCAAAGATAGGGGCTGGGGATATAGCTCAGTGGCATAAACGCCTGCCTGGCAAGCACAAGGTCCCGAGTTCGATTCTCAGTCCCCCCCTCAAATAAAATAAAATAAAATAAAAGATAAAAATTACATATTTTCAACACACACAGCTAAAACTTTCAACAAAATTAAATGTCTCTCCTTATACCTTTTTACTTTTCCTTCTGCTCCCTCTGCTTACATTCAGTTCCTTTAAAATAAAAAGAATAAGTATTTTTCTGTACATGTATCTACTTCCGAAAATGAATACAAGTTTCATAAGCTGCATAAACTTACTAATAAAATGAAACAAAAAATAAAAGAAAATGAAATTAGGAAACTGGGAGAACTGCCTATGTCTGTCAAAGCCACCCAACCTTTATGACTCATTGAAGATCTAGCTTGTCTCTTATGACTCTCCCAAGGTATTGCTTGCTTCTTCTTCAGAACCCACAACACTGTTATTTGTTTATACATATCCTTTAAGACAAATGCATTGAAGTATTAAAAAAATTAAATGCTCCTTCATGAAAAAACAATGAATAAAGTTGGTATTAAAGGAACATATCTCCACATAATGAGCAATACATGTAGTAAATCCATAGCCCATACCATGCTGAAAGAGGAAAAATTGAAAGCATTTCCTCTACAATCAAGGACACAAAGGGGTCAACTCTAATGTAGCATTTCAACTTTTAGTAAGAGCTCTTAGGCAAAAGAAAGAAATAAAAGGGATACAAATATGAAAAGTGAAATCAAATTTTCCCTGCTTGCGGATAAATTGATTCTATATCTAGAAAACACTAAGCAGCCTTCAATTTCTCTCAAGATGATCAGTTCAGTAAAGTAGGAGAATCCAAGATCAATAATAAAAGATAGCTTTTCTATGCACCAATAAGGAACTGAGATAAAGTTCGTGGAAATAAGACTGATTACAATAGCCTTTGAAAAGGACAAAAAAAATCTGAAAAGCTGAAAGACTTGTACAATATAAAAATGTAAAATACTGACTAAACAAAGGAAGGCAACAACACAACATGAAAAAAGTAGTACAAACTACTTTTGTCCTCAAGAAAAAAATAGGTCATCTCAGCAGAACTACATTTTAGAACCGTTCAATACTGAATTACAAACATTCAAATAAAGAAGGGCTGGAGATTTAGCACAGCGGCACAGCGCCTGCCTGACAAGTGCAAGGTCGTGAGTTCGATTCCCGGTACCAGAAAAAAAAAAAAAAAGAAAAAAGAAAATTGCTGATGTAGAGAGATTTACTTGCGATTCTAATAAAAAACATGAGAAGAAAGTAATACCAACTTTGCATGCGGTCTTTCAGGAAATTAATGTGGATGGAAGACTTTCCAATTTCTACTCTAAGGGTCGTATTAAAGCCATGGTAATGCAACAAGAAAAACTGAACTAGAGAAACTTTCTCCTCCAAAATACAGATGCTAAAAATATAAAATAAAACTCTTTGCAAATATAGCACAGCTAATTTAATAATCAAACATGATTCAGTTTAGCACAGAAGAGAGAAATATTAAAGAAGCAAAGTATTATAGTTGTACCATAGGTCGTTTTAATCTTTATTTTATTTATTAATTCCTTCCAAGACTTTTACTCAAGTATTCGCTTGTGTCCTAAGGATAATGCTTAAGTGTCCACAGTATGGAAATATTTTCTTTATATTTGTAACTATCGCATTGCCTCTAAAAATTCCATTCAATTCCAGTAAGAAAGAATTTTCAGTTATCCAACCATATAAACCATTGATTCTGCTTGAGAAATGCTTGTATTTTGAAATCTTAGATTTCTTCTTACAGACTCTACCAACTCATAGACTCTTTTATCTAAAGAAATACATAGCATGCTACTTTACCTACTTAATATGAGAGAATATCTGAAATTATTCTTTACTAGATACAAATCTACAGTAGGCAAGTGGTTGAGAAGTTTGTATAGTATATGACTATTGGCTTATTGTAATACTGTGTTCTGTTTGAATAATCAATATTATTCAATCTGGAAATAGTTATGACAGACATTGATAACATTGATATTGCAAAAGCTATTCAGTTAGGTGCTCCTGGTTCAAAATTAATCTTATTATGTTATGTTACATGTGCAAGATATGAAGTAACAATACTGTGGCATTCAGAAAAAGTAGAAATCTCATATATAATGAAGAGGTACCTGAAAAATAGAGAAAAAAATTAAGTACGAATTATATTGGTAAATGGCTTACAAAGGGACTAGCCAATGCTGAATGTGGTAAAAATCCACATTTCATTGGATTTGTTTGGTTTCTCATGGGAAATTTCTATTCTCTAAAAATGAGAACATGATTCCTTGGGATATTACACACTTTGGGAAGAAGTGAAAATCATAGCTATGGTACTAATGGTACTAACACAAGAAAATGGCCAGTGTGCTTCACAGTCTCTTGAGAGCAAAGTTGGACATTGCAGAACTATGTACCTGTGCTCATGCATTCCTTAAAGATTTAGCAGGGGCTCCCATAAGCCCAAAAGCCCAGCCTGTAGTGTAAATCCCATGTGTCCATCGGCACTACAGTTTCTACATAAAACTCCCTAAGCTTCTGGTCATTCTCATCATTAGCACTGCAAGTTCTAAGGTCCACACAATAGATATTTGCCTTAAAGCATAAGATTTAGGACTTTGTTTTGCTGCTCATGAAAATTGTATTTACCTGTATTTTCTACTCCAAGGCAGAATAAAATAATTAGAAATTTGGTAATCCCAAACGTTACGAAATTTGCTATAACTTTTTAGCAAATTTCCAGTCTTCTATTAATGTCTGCTATGCTTATCTCAAATTTAAGTAGTTCCAGGTTTTTTCTCACTGGTTTTCCTGGCCTAGAGGGTTACTATCCCTGGGTCTCTGTGCCTTTCTCCTTGACCTATGCCGTGGTGTTTCTGGGAAACTGCGTGGTGCTCCATGTGGTCTGGACTGAGCCGAGCCTCCACGAGCCCATGTTCTACTTCCTGGCTATGCTGGCCCTCACCGACCTGTCCATGGGGCTGTCTACTGTGCACACGGTGCTGGGAGTCCTCTTAGGGTTCATTCAAGAGGTCAGCCTGGACTCCTGCGTGGCTCAGTCCTACTTCATCCATGGTCTGTCCTTCATGGAGTCTTCTGTCCTCCTAGCTATGTCCTTTGACCGCTACATTGCCATATGTAACCCTCTATGCTACTCCTCCATCTTAACTAATGACAAAATCATGAAAATTGGGGTAACAATCTTATGTAGGAGTTTCTTACTCCATCCTCCAGTCATCATCAGCCTGAAGTTTTTAAATTATTGTCATCCTCATATCCTCTCTCACTCTTTCTGTTTGCACCAAGATTTAATCCGAACAGCCTGTTCAGACATTCAGTTCAATTACATTTATGGTCTGGCTCTGGTGATCAGCACTCTGTTGTTGGATGCTGTGCTCATTCTAATCTCCTATGTCATGATCCTGCACACAGTTTTAGCCATTGCATCGCGGGAGGAGAGAATCAAATCCTTGCAAACATGTATGTCTCATATCTGTGCTGTGTTGATTTTCTACATCCCCATCATTGGTCTGACCATGGTGCACCGCTTTGGAAAGAACCTCTCCCCACTGGTTCAAGTCCTCATGGGCAATGTCTATATCCTTTCCCTCCCTTGATGAACCCCATCATTTATAGTATCAAGACTAAGCAGATACGAAGCAGAGTGAAGAGACTCTTCTACTCAAAAGGAACTTGAGTCTTGAGGTGGAATGCTCAATGAATGTGGAATTTAAGAGTCAAAAAGCAGAGTTAGATGGGTGAGAGCAGTAAGTAATGACAAACAGATTTTCTAACTTCCATTTTATTGATATTCCACATATGGCAACCTTTTCTCATTGTCATCATATTTATTTCAGGGAAACTGTGATGTTTATTGATTTTATAAGTAAGACTATGTACATACCATGCACTGAAATTCAGATGTGTTTAATAAAATCCAGGTCTTATTATCATTAATTGAAAAAGGGCATTGTTGGGTCTACTAATTACGAACAAGGTAAATTTTGGTAGTTAATCCTCTTTAAGTAATTACTAACAAATCAAATATTATGTTGATCTAGTCTTATTATGCTATTATTTATCCACCTGGCTACATAGTGGAGAAACATAATGAGGAGACTGGATGGTTTAGATCATTTATAGTGAAAGAAACAACAAAAAATTTATGTTGATGTTTGATTATCCACTAATAAGATATGTAGTCCCACCATTTGGGCAGCAAATGACCTGCAAACATAAACAGTGTGTAATGCCAGAATACAAAGAAATGGATTTTCTCAACTGGATTCTTTATCAGATATTATGTACTATTTGGATGCAGGAGGAATCATTTTAAAAATCTGGCTTTGAGTCCAAATTTTTGTCTTTTATTTAACTCCTTGCCCAAACTAAAAGAAAATAATGTACCTAGATTGCTATTTTAAAAAAGTAATATAAATATGTTTATAATTTAATCTGTTCAACATGGTGGTAACTTATTTTCTATTATGTACACTGATCTTTTAAAATGTAGGATGGTTAAATTATACAGCAAATTTTAGTATGTACTGCATGATAGGACTTGGCCATATGGTTTATTTTACTTAGTTTTGAATTGCAAGGTAGGTCTTTCCCACTTTTCATCTGTACTTTTTAAATGTTGTTTCTAAATGTTTACATAATCATTGTGAAACATTTATAAAGTAAAAATAATCACCATTGTAAATTATATAAGATAATAAAGTATAAATATTTACAGTCTTGTGTCTTCAATAGCCTCAAACTATTATTTCTATAGTAATATGCATCTGATGTTGGTACTATTTATAAGGTCAATATATTAAGATATAAGTACAAATGGTATCACATATGTATATATATACATATATATACAATGGAGTGAAGATAATAATGCTATTAATTTCTATTAGTTCATTGAAAGGAACAGTTAGTGTTTATATTATTTGATCAATTTTGTATACCTATATCTTGTAATCTGAGCAACTACTTTGAAGATAATAATATACAATATAATATCCATTATTAATTTCCTATCAACTTGTTTTGAAATTTTGTATCATTTTTGTCTGTTTTTAATTCTCTTTAAAATAAAAAAATTATATGGCAAGTAAAGGAACAAAATATTACTGCAGAAAATCATGGAAAATAATAAATTATGCTTATAAATGTTTTCTCAACATATTTCTACAATAATTTGTGCAAAATTTACCTAATATTTCAAAGGCAGATATATTGAAGTGTAATTCCAAATAGTAATTATGTCTTGTTAGACATAGATGCACCATTTAATGAGCTTTGAGAGACATTTATAGTCATGCAACAACCACTACAATCATGATATAGAATATTTCCATTACTGTCCCATGTATGTTCATAACTGTGTTTTATCCATTCACTCCCCTAACCTCATATTGCCAAGTGTCACTAATCCAGCTACCATCATAACTTTGTCATTAAGATAAGGTCATGTAAACAAAATTATAAAAAAAAATCTTATTTGTTTGCATTACTACACTCAATAGTTGTTTTCATTCTCATTCCTATTGCTGTTTGTATCCATAAATGAATTTTGCATCCATTTGTGTTACATTGTATCATATACAAAAATATTCATGCATGAACCCGTTGATGGATATTTTATTCTTTGTTGTTTAAATTTTGAATAACACAGTTTTAAACATATGTATCAAATGTAATTATGAAATATTGTTCCTCAAATTGTTATATAGAATAGTTCCTCAAAAATTATTTTTAATATCCGCGCCTTTACTACTAAAGATGAAACAACCAGTATGCTAATAACAATTATAATCTTTAAAAACACAAAAATAAATAGTTTATATTTGTTGGATGCCTGTCATTTCCCATGCATCTTGGAAATCCCATGATTCCCATGATTCTTGCTATTAATCCTGAGATCAAATCTGTGGGGTAAATCATTAACTTTTCAGTTTTGTAGACAATGATGTTGAAACAAAAGTGATTTAAGTTACCAGACAATAATTGGGAGACAGAAAGTAACTGTGATTTTAGAGTTCATACTTTTACTAATAGTCACTGATAACTATATTTGATTGCCCATTCATTTCGGAGCTAATATTCTAATATATTTTGTTTATGTGCAGTTACATTTTAGGAAGATAGGTGTAAAGAGTTGTTATTTAGTTTTATCTTGCTCCAGGTGAATCTGTCGATGGCAGTTTGAGCTGCACACCTTCCTCTTAAAGGTAAATTAATGCTTTTATCCTCAGAAATATCTTTACTGTGGTATAATTTAAATTTTTCACTAATCATTCTGCCAATCAGAAGTTCATAATCTGTGCAAGACTATCACTCTTCTCAAGTCTCTTCCCGTTTTTACACACTTCCCCTGTCACTGGCAGGATACGGAAGTTAACACGTCTTTGAGGATTGGCTGTGAACACTGGGTGAGCATCTTCTCTTTAGGTTGTGTTACCTGTGTGAACCATGTTGAATAACTCTCATATGGCTGCCTTACTCAGTAAGGCCTATCCTCTCTGCACTCTGTAGAATTTTGACTGATAATGTTCTTCTAGATTCACTTGGGGACACATCCATGACATTGGCTCTCGTTGTACAAGCGCTAAACCTGACACATACACTCTTACTTTTGTAACTCTAACATTTTGAGTATTCCTGCCTTCAAAATTATTTGCCTAAGGTAATCAAAACCAACAGGTACAGTTACCTTGGCAATGTTATGAGCATTTATTTGCCTTGATGCGTATGGTTAATGCATTGGTATAAAGAACTCTTCTCTCTGTTTCAGCCCAGTGGGAGTGAAGGAAAGCAGAAGCCTTCCTTCTTTCTGTTTAAAGGATCATGGCCTATGCTCATCTTCTTTCTATGCTGCTCTCCCATGTTCTGAGGAATCACATAGGTAGTCTTTCAAAAAGTCAATCAGGAAATATGTATTAATGCATCCTGCTTTGTGCACTCTTTTCAAAATACTTTGGATTTCTGTACTTTCATACCACGTATGTGACTGGGGGCAGAGGATGTATTCATAAACTGAGACATTCTGGGAGATATCTTGCTTGTTATCCTTTTTAATTTTTGTCTCTCTTATCATAATTCATGCTGAATAGGTTTTTGCCAAAGCTTCATCTGTTTAAAATGAATTTTCCTTGAACCCGAAATGCCTTCCTGTCAATACTAGCTCTGATTATCACTATCTGGCTGAAACATCTGACAGCAAAACTCAAGAGGAAGAAAAAGGAAATTAAAATGGAAAAGCACCTCTACATTTCAAAAGATTTTTATGAATTAATATATATGCACATATTTATCTTATATATTTTGTGGGTGCATCTATACTCTATTTTCAGTGGTTTCTCTGCTTTCCCTAACACATTCCAGTTTTGGCAACACTTAACTATAAAATACTATCAATTCATTTTTAACATTAGTTACTTTGCATGCTATGCTTGGAGAAAGCCAATTGTCAATGCAATATGTCTCTGCAAAGTAATTTCTCTACTCTATATAAATTAACACTAACATTTTTATAATATTTATTCTGTTCCAGGCACTACTATAAATGTTTTGCATGTACCTCAATTTTAACAAAATTGATACATAGGTAACTTTCCTTAGTTTTTATGACAGAACCAGTACAGCGTAGATCTGGGTTTTGCACTGTGACTCTGAGGTTACCCTCTTAGGTATAAAGCTATATTGTACCTCAATGGATAGATTATGTTTCATAATAAATTTAACTTACTCAAGAAAATCATTTAAAGTCCTGTGATTATCCTTTCACTAATTTTACTTTGATTCTGTATATGTTCTGCTCTATTTTGCCTTTTGATCTTCAGTAACAATTTCACCTTCTGGTCTACTCTAATAACAATCCCTTTTCAGGAATATATTCCCCCAGTTTCCCCCTGACATGTCTGATGCACATTATAAACAACTTTGTTTTAGGTGGCAGGACATTCAGATGTCTAGGACAAGTTAATATAATGTTAAATATAAGTCCTAAGAAGCAAGGGAAACCATTCTGAGTTATGATGACCTTAAAGCAACCCTTACACATGCCGACATCCAAGATCCATGGGGTCTTGTTCCTCTGGAAAACTCCTGTCTGAATCCCTGGTAATTCTGGGTTGCTTTGCTGTATGCTCTTTCATTGGAAGCTGGGTGTTTCTCTCATTCCAGAACCGACTCTCATAGCCCTCCCTATGTCTATGATTGCAAAGTCATTTTGCCCCATACCTTGCCAATTTCACTGTTTCAGAGGCTATGCAGTAGGACCTTGGGATAGACAGTTTAAAATTTATTTCCCCTTTAGGCAGTGGTCTTTTTCTTTAAACTAGGTCACCCATTTTAACTAAATTACCCTACTCTTTTTGTATCTCTGTGGGTGAGCTTATTTTCAGGTGGCTTTAGCCCCACTACAGTCCTGGACAATCACTAACAAGTCATGCTTGGATATTTCTATTTAAAGACAACATCCAGAGGATTCACACTGTGCCAGAGAACTGAGATTTGACAAGGCTGCATGCTTTATCCATTTTGATTCATTCTTCAAGAGTAGCAGTATTGATTACAGTCAGGGTCTATGCAAGGAGGTTCAAATCAACTGGAGATCATGACCTTCTAACACAGGGTCTTGCTGAAAAGGGAAGTTTGTGTAGATTTTCTTCTGCATGTGGGACAGTGTTAGGGCACACATCCAGAACTGTACCATCAGCTGATACAAAACCCCATGAGGTCTGTCTTCAGGAAATAGTATTTGCTTTGGTTAAGTGTTGTTAACCATCTGGCTAGAACTTCAGTTCCTGAACTAAAATATGAAAGGGTGATCAATTGCAGAGGGAGTGACCTATCCCCATAGGGAGAGATCCCCAAGAGTTCTTCAAGAGGAAAACTGTCCAAGATGGTGCTGTGCAGAGAGAAAGCAGTTAGTATTATTTGGGCCTCAAGTGTAGACAGTGAGGACTAGAAGTGCTGCACACGAGGAGACAAAGTTCATTCTTTGCCTTGTAATGACATAGTCTCAATTTTGTATCGGCATAAAATCTGCCCACTTAAAAAGATTTGGGGAGGATTTTACTCTTTACCATTATTGAGAGAAGTTTACAAAACTTATAGATCATTTTTCTCCTGCACATTCGGTTGTATTTACCTGGTAAATCCAACTGGGCCTGGCAAATGTCTTACTGAAAGTCTTCAAATGCAATTTTTCAAATAGGTGCAAAACACATTGCACTGTTTCTTTTGGAAAGAGCTTTGGTAGTTTCTATCTTCCAAACAGTTGTCTTGTTTTATGCAGGCTCTTAAATATATCCATGTAAATTCGATTGTAATATACCTTATTTATGTAATTTGTAACACTGATTTTTATATTTTAAATTCTCTTTCTTACTGCCCACCTTTAGAATAAAATATAAATATTTTTACCAAATTTTAAAATATTATATATAGATATTATGTATAAGTTAAATATTACATATCAGTATACATAAATGTTAATATATTTCTTCTAAAGTTTCTTACTATAAATTAGGATTATAATGAATAAAGTAGGACAATATTGTAGAACTCAAAAACAGTATATTTCAGAAACAAGGAGTCATTTATAAACATGCCATCCCAGCTTAGTTTGTCCATTTGGTTTCATGCTTTTGGACCAAATTGTCTAAGAATTTAATTTATTGATTTCATAGAATTTATGTTGCTATTTAAGGGATTTATTCACATTTTTGCTTACTGATGTTAAAGATAAAAGAATAATGAATCCATTTGCTCCACTGTCTGCATGATTTTGCGAAGAATGTTCTTTCATGGAGGAGATAGTATGAATACATTCTGCAGTGTTTGTATACAGTTTACAGTTTGAGAGTAATGGAGTAGCTGAATTTCACCTTTAAAAGTACTCTGATTCTGAATACTTCCAAAAGGCTTAATACCATTGTATGGCAACCCTCCTTCAAACAATTAAAAACAGACTCCTGAATGACATGAAACTCAAAAGGAAGAGTCAAAAGATAATTTTGTATTCAGTCAAAGCAATCAAATACATATCTTGGATACCTTCTTAATTAAATGCTAGAAAATTTCATATAAAATAATAATAACGTGTGTAAAATCATAGAATATTAAGAACAATAGGAAGAGGATATATAGGTCTCATTAACGAAATGATACACTATCATAAATAGGCCTGAGCAATGCATATTTAATACTGAGTTCAAAAGCCACATAATTATTCTATAACTATATATGAGAGATTAAAAAGGTGGCAATTTTGTGATACTAAGAAATGTTTACATCCCAGAATAAAATTAATATAAAACAGTGAAGAAAAAATAAAGTACAATTTAAATATGTAACTAAATTAGATAACATGTAAACATAAGGTGAAAATGTCAAAGTTGTACTTTATTTTGTATACTTATTTTGGATGATCTCTGCATGTTCCTAAATTATAGTACTTTACAGAAGATTATTTCTTTCGGACTTTATGGCAAGAACTGAATGTGATGTCTGTTGTATCAAAGATAAAACTGACAAGTATTTCACTTTCTCTTGCGGGTGATACCAGATTTAGCAACACTATATACACTCGTCATCATGCATAAGTACCATTGTTACTGAACGGGTACTCCCAGCAGTGCAGCTTGCAATCTAAATCCCATGTGCCCCTTCCCATTTCTGCATAAAACTCCCCAATATTGGGCATCCCTCATGACAAACACCGCACGTCCCATGGCTAGACAACAGATTCTTCCCTTAAAAAGAATCAAGTCACAATTTGGCTGTATTTATGAAGCTTATAAAAATTATATTGTATTTCATTTTCTTCTCCAAAAGGATAAACACTGATAGATATTAGGACATCAAAAATTTATGGAACTTAGAATATCTCTCAAAATATTTTTCAATTTCCTATTAATGTCTGCTATCTCAGTCTCAAACATCAGTAATTCCAAATTTGTTCTCACTGGCTTCCCTGGCCTAGAAGGATATTATTTATGGTTTTCCATTCCTTTCTCCATCATCTATGCCATGGTGTTCCTGGGAAACTGCATGATACTTCATGTCATCCGAACTGAGCCGAGCCTCCATGAGCCCATGTTTTATTTCCTGGCTATGCTGGCCCTCACCGATTTTTGTGTAGGATTATCCACTGTCCACACAGTGCTGGGTGTACTATGGGGGTTGATTCAAGAGATCAGCCTGGACTCCTGCATTGCTCAGTCCTACTTCATCCATGGTCTGTCCTTCATGGAGTCTTCTGTCCTCCTAGCTATGTCCTTTGACCGCTACATTGCCATTTGCAACCCTCTACGCTACTCCTCTATCTTAACAAATGAAAAAATCCTGAAAATTGGGGTCACAATCTTATGCAGGAGTTCTTTACTCATTCCTCCAGTCATCATCCGCTTGAGGTTCTTAAATTATTGTCGTCCTCATATTCTTTCTCACTCTTTCTGCTTGCACCAAGATTTAATCCGAATGGCCTGTTCAGACATCCGCTTCAATAACATTTATGGTCTGGCTTTAGTGATCAGCAACCTTTTGTTGGATGCAGTGCTCATCCTAATCTCCTACATCATGATCTTACACACAGTTTTAGCCATTGCATCCTGGGAGGAGAGAATCAAGTCTTTGCAAACTTGTGTGTCTCACATCTGTGCTGTTCTGGTTTTCTACATCCCCATCATTGGTCTGACTATGGTGCACCGCTTTGGAAGGCACCTCTCCCCACTGGTTCAAGTCCTCATGGGCAACGTCTATATCCTTTTCCCTCCCTTGATGAACCCCATCATTTATAGCATCAAGACCCAACAGATACGAAGGAGAGTGAAGAGACTCTTTTACTCGAAAGGAACTTAAGTCTTGAGGTGGAATGCAAATGAATATAAGAGTCAACAAGCAGAGTTAGAAGGGTGAGAGTCAGTAAGTAATGAAAAATAGATTTTCTAATTTCTATTTTAATTATATTTGACATGTTGCAAAAATTTTTTCTATGTCCTTTCTCGCTATCATATTTGTATTAGTGAAATTGTAATGCTTATTGATTTTATAAAGGAGACCATCTACATACAATGTACTGAAAGTCATATTAATGTGAGGTGGATTTGCTATTAAAATCCAGATTTTACTATCGTGAATTGAATGAGAGCATTGTTCGACCTACTCATTATGAACAAGTTAAATTTTGGCGGTTAATCCTCTTCAGGTAATTACTAACAAATATTAACTTGACCTACTCTTATTATGCTATTATTTATCCACCTGGCTACATAATGGAGAAAGCGCAATTAGGAGACTGGACAGTTTAGATCATTTATAGTGAAAGAAACAACAAAAAGTTAATGTTGATGTTAGATTATCCACTAGCAATATATGTAGTCCTACCTTTTGAACAGTAATTGACCTGGAGATGCAATCAATCTGTAATGCTAGAATAGAAAGAAATAGATTTTGTCAACTGATTCTTTATCAAGTGTTATGTACTATTTGAATAGAGTTGGAATCATTAAGAAGTTGCCTTTCAGTGTAAATTTGTCTAATTTTATTGAAATCCCTTCCCAACCAAAAAGAAAATAAAGTGCCTAGATTGTTACTTTGAAAAAGTAATGTAAACATGTTTATAATTTAATCTGCTCTTCATCATTGTGGTAGCTATTATTTTCTATTATATACATTGATTTTTTAAAATGCAGGATGGTTAAATTACACAGCAAAGTTTTAGTATGTACTACATGATGGGATTTGAACATTGTCTGTTTTAGTTAGTTTCAAATCTCAAGATATGTCTTTCCTTCCAACATTTCACCTCTACGTTTTAAATGTAGTTTCTAAATGTTTGAGTAACTATTGTGAAACATTTATATGATAACATAAAAATAATCACCAGTGTAAAGTATGTATGATAATAAAATATAAATATTTACATTTTGTGTTTTAAATAGCCTCAAAAAACTTTTTTTTACAGTAATGTGTATCTAATGTTGGTACTGTTAATAAGGCCCATTTCTTTAGATATAATTACAAGGCTTATCACATCTTTGTTAGATTATAGGTACAGATTGATGAGCTTCACCTCATGAAACCACACACAATCCTGATATAGAATACCTTCATCACCATCAAAAATGTCCTTACACCTGCTTTTGGTCTATCCTGTCTCACAACTTCAAGTCTGTGGAAGCCTTTAATCTAATTTCTGTCCAATAGGTTTGCTATCACATAACATATTTGGTTTTGAAATTCATCCTTATTGTTGTTTGTATCCATAGTTATTGTTACTATCCAAGTGTCTCATGTACAAGGGGCTACCAATTCGTTAATCTATCGGTCTTCTCTTTTGTTGTTTTAGCTTTGAATAAAGCTCTGACAAATATACACAGTATATGATATCAAACATTTCTTTAAAAAGTTGTAGGCTTTATACTTAGCATTTATATTTTGATTACTAAAAATACAACTACACTAATAATAAATATTATAATCTTCAAAATAACAAATAATTTATATTAATGAGCTGAGTATTATATACCAGGTACCCTGAAAGCACCAAGCAGCAATTTTTGCTATAAAAGCGCAAGCCAAGTCTGCAAGGAAAATCACACTTATTCAGTTTTGTTGTAAAGTTATTGAGATAAAGGGACTTAAATTCATTGTTCTAGAAAATGATGGTGGGGCATTTTGGTTTCAGGGTTCACATTTTTACCAGGGTTGCTGCTGCTTCATAATTATCATTGGGAGTTTTTCTTATTGTGATTACACTGTTAGTGCTGGTAGGAATCAAGTATGAGGTAAGAATTGTAAATTCTAAATTTATGTAAATATATATTTTCAAATGTGCTACTGACACCATGGTTTAATACATCATTCTATTTTCAGTCAGTGATGTGATATTTCAAATTTGTATATACCTGGTTTGTACTTTAAAGTTAAGTATGGAGAGGCTTTAGGGATTTTTTTTGGTAATGTTATTTTATTTAAAGGTAAGTTAAGTTTATTTGAACTGCTTACTTCTCCCTTAAGGCAAGTTCACCCATTTAAGCTGAAAGAAATCTTTGCTGTGTAATTTACGCTGCTTGAGTATCTTTTCCATCAAATGAAAGGCAATATTATCTGCTGGATGACTATTTCTGTCCTATAGAGGTTTCTGTCCACACATTCCCAAAACTATTTTTTGTCATGTTCATGAAAATGGAAGCTGGTAAAGTCTTTGAGGGATGAGAGAACCGATTCAGGCCCCAGTCTAGGGTCATAGTGAGTGGGAGACCGATACTGAAATAATGTCATTTTGCTCTGTATAGAACTCCATCATTTCTGGACCTTCTGCTAAAAGTTGACTGATATTTTCTCTGGAACTCACTTAGTTTCTCATGCATAACATTGTCTCTTATTCTATGAGCCATAATCTGACCCACTTCTCTTCCTCTCTGACTGAATATGTTTTTTTGGCCCTTAGCTAAACTATCACTTGCTCACCATGGGCACACCTTGGCTGTCTCTTGCTAACTTCACCAGTGTGCATGCACCATGACTTATGTGACATTTGTAGTGCTGTAAAAACTGCTGAGAAATCCTAGTGCCCAGTAGAAGAAATGGAAATCCGAGGCAGTCTTTCCTTCTTTCTCTGATTCAGCATGTAGTAGGGTTATTTTACTCCAGTGCTTCTCCCCCATGAGACTAGATACCATGCAGAGGAAGCTCCCTCAGACATGCAAGCAGAAAACATGGTGTCACTCTCACTTTCCTTTTTAGCGTACCTCTCTATTTTACAGAGAATGAAAAAAATAACAAAATACAACATGCTATTTTCTCTGTAGGAGCACATCGCATTTCTATGGTCTTATTCCACAACAACTTGAGTATAGGCCAGAGAATAACTGAAAAGGGGATCTTTAGCTTGATTTATTCCTTATTTCCCTTTTTGCATTTATGTCTCTCTTCTGCATTTCAAGTTGAATAGCATTCTGGTGTTTTTGTGTGTTTTTATAAGGAATATCCTGGACAACCCACTCTGGTCCCCTTCTGTCCCTCTCTTGGACAGAAACTTTCTTTCCCCCAATAAATATATTCTGCTCTTAACCTCTGTTGTTCCTAAAATTCATTCTTTGATTTTAGAGAACACGAACCCATCCCAGATATCTTTCAGTTTGGGAGTTTCTTTCCCCTATATCATTTGGAGGTCTTCCACCAAGATTGTTGGACCGAGGTAAGAGTTTACATTTGTTTCATAGACTCTGGTTTGGGACTTATTTAGGTAACAGATTTTTATGCTTCAAATTTTATTTCTTTGCCCATTGCATATAATTGCTAAATTAAAATATGGGAAGTTTATAAGGTTACCACAGTTTTGTCCCATCTCTTGTGCGCCTTGTGATTTCCCACGTTTCCCACTTCAGACCCACTTCACCTCTTGGTTTTTCTCTGTAAAAATCCCTACAAAAGGCAGATTCCTTGGCAGCCCACTCAGGTCCCCTTCTGTCTCTCTTTCAGACAGAATATTTCTTTCCTCCAATAAATATATCCCGCTCTTAAAAAAAATAGTAATATCCTTTGCATCTCATCCTCCTTCCTCTTTATCTCACTTTTAGTTGGTATTCTGTAGTTGAAGCTCTTAAAGATAGCAGGGCTCTAGAGAGAGAAAATGAAAATGAAAAGAATATTCAAATGTAAGATATTCCATACTTAAGGTGATCCAGTAAGAAGTGTATAGCTCAATATGCAATAATTGCAAAAAACACAATCTTTTCAAGTGCATATGAAATATTTACAAAACAATTCATGCATTTATTCATAAAAAATTTCAACAGATTCCAAGGGACTTAATCCATATAGATTATGGACTCAGACCCCAGTGAGATCAATGCAGAATTTAAAAGTCAAAAGATAATTAGAAAAATGCACCAAATGCTTGAAAATTCACTCAGATCTTCTGTTTTACTCACTTTTTATTATTCTTACTCTTTAAAAAGTACTGAAGATATTACTTTGCAATGAATATATACTCATATAGTAAAACTCATATGTAGAAAAAATAAAACTCATTGATATAGAAAGTAAGTTTCTCATGGAAACTCTTGCAGATATCAGCTCAATTACTTAATGTTCATAAAATGAGCAGAGATGGCATAACCAATAAAGTCTACAACCTGGGTCTCCTTTTGCTTTTAGTCTTTCATTTTTGATTTACATTAACCCCACACCTTGTACTGTAACTCATGTCCATTTGCAATTCCTTCTAGTTATCACTGCTTATTGCACTCAAAGCAAACACACCTTTGCAGCTTTGGGATTAAATTGTACCTCTAACGCAAGCAGGAGAGGCATAAATAATTCTGAGCAATGATTTGAGGGATCTATAATCCTTTTCTTCCTGGTAATCTGAAGCTTATCTAACGCATGTAGTGTATTATTCGTTAATATTTTATTTATTAAGAATGAAGCTTCGCTAAATACTCTCCTTTGGTTTTACTCCTTATTTCTAACAATTTATATCTCTCATAACTCTGGCTTCCGATTGCTGCAGTGTTTCATCTATGCTCTGCTCTTTACAACTCTACCTTATCATAAATAAGCAGAGATGTTTTCAAGCAAATAAACAAAAGCAAAACTAAAACAACTCAATGGGAAAATTTTATCAACAGAACCTTCTATGATTTCAGCTCTTGCCATCTTGATAAACTGGATTTGACAAACATTACATGTAATGGATTTACACTGGACTTGACACTCATTACACTCATTACATGTATTTGTGTGTGTATTACCTCTCTCTCTGTTTTGAAGGAAGTGATAGAAAACCTCTTCTCCCCTTAATTCTTCAGAGATCTTTGATGAGAAAGATAAAAGTAATACTAGAAACCACA